AGCAGCAGCAGCAGAAGTCAGCAGAAGCAGCAGCTGTAGTAGTAGTAGTAGTAGTAGTAGTAGCAGCAGCAGTAGTAGAGTAATAGTTAGCAGCAGCAACAGCAGCAGCAGCAGAGCAGCAGCAGCAGTAGTGAGTAGTAGTAATAGTAGTAGTAGTAGTAGTAGAGTAGTAGGTAGTTAGTCGTAGTAGAATAGTATTAGTCGTAGTAGTAGTCAGTTAGGAGTAGTAGTGTAGTAGAGTAGTAGTAGTAGTAGTAGTAGTAGTAGTGGTAGCAGTAGTAGTAGTAGTAGTAGTAGTAGTAGTAGTAGTAGTAGTAGTAGTAGTAGTATTAGTAGTAGTAGTAGTAGTAGTAGTAGTAGTAGTAGTAGTAGTAGTAGTAGTAGTAGTATGCATACTAATAACACACATACTAGCATACTTATGTATAACACTAAGATATATAAACGTAAGTTTGGTAATACTGGTAACATGACAGTCATGGCGAACAAAAACACACATACCAATAACCATATAAATAAGAGGAGGAGGAGGAAGAGGAGGAGGAGGAGAAGGAGGTGGAGGAGGAGGAGGAGGTGGAGGAGGTGGAGGAGGTGGAGGAGGAGGAGGAGGAGGAGGAGGTGGAGGCGGAGGCGGAGGAGGAGGAGGAGGAGGAAGACGAAGAAGAAGAAAAAGGAAAAGAAGAGGAGGGAGGAGGGAGGAGGGAGGAGGGAGGAGGGAGGAGGAGGAGGGAGGAGGGCGAGCAGGAAGGCCAGAGGCCTCTTGGATGCTCATCTGGGTTGTCTTTTGAGAGCTTCTTGGGGTCCCTTTGGGGCGTCTTGGGGTTCCCTCGGCGGTCACGTGGGCCTCTTGGAGCGTCTTGGGTGCCCCGGGGGAGCCTCTGAGGACCTCTTAGGGGGCCTCCTGGGAGCCTCTTGGGGTCGCTTGGGGTCTCTTGGGGCACTCTTGGGGCACTCTTGGGAGCCTTGGGTGGCATCTTGGAGGACATACATCAACTCACACTTCAATTCACCTCGTAGACCCCTGTTGGAACGCTCTTGGAGCGCTTTTGGGCGTTATTGGGCCCGCCTTGGGGCCCTCCCGGGCTACTCTAGGGGCTCTCTTGAGGCCTCGTAGGGCCATCGACAGCGACACGGCGAGAAGGCACTCACCATTCTATTTCCTTGCGCGTTAACGGTTCATCGCTTTCTGGCGGCTTCCTTGGGGATTTCCGTGGCCACTCGGAGCCGTCTTGGAACGGTCTCGTGGAGCCTCTTGGAGCATGTTGGGAGCTATCTTGAACCATCCTCAGATATCCCGAGCCATCTTGGAGGTCATCTTGGGCTCACTGAGGCCCTGTTGGAGCCATCTTGGCCCAATAAGGACCCTCTGACACCTCACGGGGCGCCTCGTCCAGGCCAAGGAAGGGGCTGGGGGAGGTGTCAATCTACCACAAACCGCAAGCCGTTTCGCACACTCCCACCTGCCCTTGCACTACATGAGAAGCACCCGAGTCTCGGCACAGGCAGGGGCCGCCATCCACAACCCTTCGCGAGCCGTTGCCAGGGTCGCGGTCTTTTCCTGGGCTAAGACGACAGTCGCAGAGACGTGCCTCAAATGAGTTCCCGAGACGTACCTCAGTGAGTGCACCCGTTTGACTAGGGGGCCCCAAACAACGCATGATGAACAACTCCCGTTCCAGAACGGCGTTCTGCATTGAGCACAGCAGGCGCTACGACGCACCCCCGCCGTCCTTGCAACAAACCTCTGCCAAGTTATCGTGGGGCGTCCGCGCATGATCCAGATGCTTGTGCCAAGTGCACTGTGTATTTTGTTATGACAGGGATGGCGGGGGGGGGTTGGCATGGTCCCGGGTTCGTTGCCGGGTGGGTGGGGAGGGGGTGCATAGTAACAAGGAGCAGTGATGAAACGCCCCCCGAAGGGGAATAACGGGGGTTGGAAAAGGAAACGCCCAGAGGGGCTGGTGGGATTTCGTCGAAGGGCAAAACCATATGTAGCTGCGGGCGAGTACCGCAGTGTGGGTGATACGAAGGGGGGGGCGTCCTCCTCTCCCCCTCTTCCCCTTCCATATCCATGTTTCCATTCCTCTTCAATCACATGTTCTGAGTACTACTCCCCGCTCCCCCATGACAGCGTGCAGCGAGGCGCCCGTTTCCCCGGCGTACTGTTTCCACACCCAGCCTTCGATCACTTTATCTTCGACGTGTTCGGGGCGCTTTTTGTCCTTCACATGTACAGTCATTGATTTGGTCAAGTGCTGCAGTTCTCATTCGGGACGTAAATCATGAAGGACACCCCGCCTGGCGGATAGAAAAGAACCGAATGCAGTTGGAATGGACACGTGGGAGGGGTAGGACGTCAGATGTGACGCGAGCGCACGTAGCTCGTCCTCCTCCCCCCCCCTCCGTCCCTCTTCTATCATTTCCATCGCTCTTTCTTCAAATAACTGTTGGGCGAGTCAGGGCGAGCCAGGCGCTCGGTTTGTTCTTCTCATCGCTCATGATCTCGAAGCTTGATTGTCGCAGCCTCCTCCGTCCCGCTTCCTTGTAGCCTTGGCATGCCTGGTTCCTCCTCGTCGCACCACGAGGGGTGCCAGCAGAGCGAGTCGGGCGCTTCGCTTGAGTCGTTGAGATTCTCTCACCGTTCATGATCATGAAGCCTGGTATTTCCAGGTATGTACAGTTTGAGACGGGTTTCAACATGTGCCTCGCGTCAGCGAAGCGCACATTCGTTAGACGCTTTTCCAACATGTGCACGGATGGATGGCTGTTCCTTCTCAATATGTGGTCCTTTCGTTAGCGCCGCGCACAGGTTTGCTGGCGAAGTGTTAAAGCTTCAAAGCAGACGTGGCAAACCGTGCAAAAGTTACACAGGTGGAGGGTGGCTCCTTGTCAATGCGGGTTTCCTGCCTGAGACCACATCGCCCTCTCAACACTGGGCCGTCGCCTGAACGGCAGACCCATGGGGTGCTCGTCTTTCAGGGGTGCAGTTCCCGCAGTGAGCTGTGACTAGAGGGACTTCGGAGGAGGGGGCTTGGGACGGGCGGCCGTGGTTTTGCAGCTTCGTCGATACACCTCGTGCTCAATCCGGACTTCCTTATCCTTCTCTTCTTCTTCTTCTCCTTCTTCTTCTTCGCCTTTCCTGGCTTCCTGCGGTAGAAGGCCGCGACTTCAGCTGCGGTCTTCATTCGTCCGCACATCCTTTTATTCAAGCGGCTCACGCCGTTCCGCCGGCCCCTAGCGGAGTCGAGACCTCCAGGGCGTTCGGTAGGCTTTGTTGGAGCTGGAACGGCCAGGGGTTTTTCTTCACGCTGGCCAGGGTTAAACTCTCTGGGGCCTGGAGGGCTTTGGGGGGCATCTGGTTTGCTTTTTGGTGCATTTTGGGGGCCTTTGGGGAGCCTTGCAGGGGTCTCTTGGAGGCCTTTCGGGGACCTCTTGGGGGCGCCTCGGGGGTCACTGGGGGCTTTTTGGGCCATGAGGAGGGGAAAAGGCTCGAGATGTCAGTTGGTATTGCCCCTCTAGTGCCTTTTGTGGGGCCCTCGTGGGCCGTCTTAGGATCTCCTGGGGCCATCTTGAATCCCTCCCGGACGCTGTCAAGACGAGAATGCTGTGTATGTCGAACATGCACGTGCTCCAAAGGGAGTGCGAAGATTTTTGCGTCTTGTGGCCCTCTCGGCGGTCCTCTGGGATAATTCTTGGGCTGTCCTGGGGGCTTCATTGGCTGTCTTGAAGCCATCTTGGACCGTCACGAGGTTGCCCTGCGCCGTCTCGACATTCTCTTGGACTGCCTGGGCGCTCTGTTTGGGCCCTCTTGGGCTGTTTTGGGGCTCTCTGTAGGCTACAGTCCCCCAGGGTGCGTTGACGAGCTCGTGCCCCCCCCCGCGTAGAACAGGATATTTGACCCCTAGGGAGGGGGAAATAGGGAGGGTGACAGCCACATGTTTTACAATCCTTTTCACCCCCGACAGGCGGGGGTGGGCGGACTCCTCTTCTTATCATTCGGCTTACTGTTCATCTTGTTATTCCTCCTTCGTTTCCTCTCGCTGCTTTCCATTGCGTTCCTCGCATCCCTGTGCGCAGGCGCCCTGGTCAGAGACGGCGCTCTGCTGGTGCTCCCCCTCCCTCCGCCCAGCGCCTCGCGTGCGAAGCAGGTGAGGCGGAGGGGGACGAGGAGATAGTGAGGCAGGGTGAGAATGGAGGGAGGAAGGGAGGGGGTAGAGAGGGAAAGAGGAGGAGGATGAGGCGGAGATCCGTAGCCATTTCGTTTCAAGTAACACATGTCTCGAGGATGGTCCAGGGTGACCACTCTTGAGGCCCTGGAGAGCCCCAGGACAGGGGCCTCTGCTTTTTGGCACCGTCTCCCTGCACACCTTAGTTTAGTTCTTTTCATCCCTCGCGGGTGCTGTCTGATCGTTCGACAGCGGAGTGATGTCCAGTGACGATGTTCGTGCACAGGCGACAGCAGCTACTTTCCAACAAGACGAGTCCATGGCCACTTTCCTGTTTCAGGAAGTAGCTGATCACCGCCAAGCCCCTGCTTCGCAGCGTCTGTGTCCTTCTGGCTCTGATGGTGCCAGTGCTGATGGAACTGACGTATTCGCTTTGGCAGGCGACCTTGGACAAGAGCACATGCGAGCCTATGTTGACTCCACCAAGGACGATATCATGGCCGCTTTGGAAGAGGCCAAGCGCGCGATGGCCGCATCTGTCCTGCGGGCTGTCCAGTCTGGCAACCACTATCACTCGTTCGTGCTCGTCGTTGCCTTCTCAAGTTGGGAAGCGAATGGCAGGAGTTGGTCTCGCGGTCGTTGGTCACTCAGAGAAGTTCAAGGAGGTCGACAAACAGATCTTCCAGCTCAATTGTATGGTTGGCGCCGCCAAGACCGAGGAGCCTGACGTCCAGACGACCTCTGACAACTCACACGTCGATCGCACACCCGACAGCTCGGTGCTGGTTGCGCGTGCCAAACCAGTGACGACCACCGAGGCTTTCAAGACTGCCATCATACCGATTCTGGAGCAGAACAGCTTTGCCGATAACGGCGTTCGGTTCGAAGGTCAGGCTGCTGCATCCCGTGTCCAGGTTCGTGTGTTGCGAAGAAGAGGCTGCGCCCAGCGGAAAATCGTCCAGGTGTTGGGCTCCCTCCCTCTGTGGGCATGGCGGGCAATGGCCCCGCCACGCTCTGGTGGACTCGTTCGGCGCGACCTTGGAGATGTGGACCGACGCGGACAAGTCCCCTGCGCAGGTCAAGCGGGAGCAGCTGGTCAAGGCAGTTCGTCGTGAGTGTGAGGCTTTGTATCCCCAGAAGCGCTTTTTCGCTAACAAGAGTCGTGGATGTGTATGCGTGGGTTGGAAACCAATCAACATGCTGGAGCCCCGCCCGAACAACGGGACGCCCCTCGTCAAGTGGGCCCAATCCAACATCGTTTCCGAGGGTCGACAGGCAGGCCATTCAGAACGCCATCGCGAGCATTGTGTCGGGGCCTGAGCCTGTCGCGGCCTGGTGCCGCCAGCATGCATCCCGCTCGTTGATTCCTTTCGGGTCTTGGAATGCACGGATTCTCGTTTATACTTATCGGCCTTTCAGGGATCGCAAGTGCCAATGCTTGAACAAATTGATCGGTCCAGGGTCCGTCATTGGCGCCCAAGGAAATCGCGACGCCTTCGAGGAAATCCAAAGGATGATATACCTTTACATCTACCTGTCCAAGTTCGTGACTCTCTTCTGCCTCCCCTTCCTCCCGATTCAGTTCGCGGCGATGTTGGGGGTGTTGGCGATGGGCCTGCTGCTCGCCGGCCCCGCGCTGCCGGTGGAGTGGCCGCCTCCGCCCCCCAGTTTCACGCTGCTGCAGGGGAGCGTGCGCCTGTTATCCAATCTGTTATTCGAATGCTTGGGTGGGCTCTGAATGTTCGAATTCTGTTTTCTGATGGTATTCATGGCGCTGCAATATCCACATGTTTCGTTTATCAAGTATTCAGAGGACATTATAGAGGCTATCTCCCAGGAGTTAGAGTTGGCCAGGGGGGGCCTTTTGAGGATCCTCCTGGTCGTTGGTGGCGACTTCAATGTTGCTGGGGCTCTCCCTATCGCAGCCTATCGGAGCACCCCTACAACCCGCGGCCAGAATCGAGACTGGCGGCGCTCTCGGGATCCTGTCTGGGAAAGGTGCTTCAAGAAGCGTTGTCTGTTCGTCCCGGCTCCATGGTGGTGCTCGGCGCAGTCCTGCGCGGGTGTTGGGATCCACGGGTTCTCCGAGGTTCTGCGCAAAACGGATATTTCGGACCATGTTGGAATCACCTGTGCTTTGGCCCCTCGTAGGCTGTCGGCGCCCCGGGGGCGCGCCGCCCCCTCGGCCCTTTTCCAGTGCCCCGATTTCGCGGAGAATGTTGCCAAGATCACCGAGCAGGTGTGCTTATAGATGGCCTGTCCCGTCCTCCCCTGCCCCCCCTGCGCAAGGACGTCGCGATCGAAGCTGCCCGAGCCGCTCGAAATGCGGTTATCCGAGGCTGACCTGCAGATCCTCTCGTTCGCCATATCCACCTCCGCGCGATCTCCAGGGCCGCCTGGCAACGTGATGCCCACCTGGGCGCAAAGTTTTTGGCCATCGGCTTGGGTGGAAATGCAGCGTCCGTGGTCCTGCTCGACCCCGCGGGCTTCCGCGAGGCGACGCATGCCGCGCGCGAGAGGCTGTTCCAGGCTGGGCAGGAATCTGCTGCTCGCCGTCTGCCAGGGGCCTTTGGGGGGGTCACTCGTTCCAAGGGTCGCCAGAATTTAAAGGGCTTCAAAAACGCGGGCGCTTGTAGGCCCCGTTCGACAGACAAGTTTGTCCTCGTGGAACCCGACCCGCCCCCGACCCCGACTCGAACCCCCTGGTCGTCTCCAACCCTTCGGTCATGCTTGATCTGCCGTCGACGCATTGGGGCCTAGTCTTTTCCGAGCAGGCCACGGACAAAGCCGCGGCCAAGCAGTGTTCTGGACATTCGGAGGTGTTTGTGGTTTCCGAGCGATGGCGCCCCAGGGCCCGACCAGCTTCCGCATGCCGCTTGCAAGAGCCGCCCTGGCGGAGGAAACTCCCTGGGCGCCGCGCTTTTCCCGGTGCTTGAGGGCAAGTTGCTTCTTCGCAGGCGCAATGCGCTGCGTTGCGCATTCCCGGCCGGGGGGGGCGAGGCGGACGACGGCCTTGCCGGTCCTGGGCGCCCTGGCCACACGCGGCCCTTGGGGCCCACTAGCGCCAGCATTAAGTTTCTCACTAATGCGCGTTGTCGGGCCCTGTCTTGTCTAGGAGGCCCCCCGAGATCGCCCTCGGACGCAAGATGGGGCTTCGTTCCCACGCGGAACTTCGGTGAGAACATCCCAGAGCTAGACGCGATGCGTAGGGTCGCCTCAGTGTTGGGCCGGGGCGAGCGGAGGTCTCCGGCGCTGGCTTCCTTCGATTTCGAGCAAGCGTTCCCTTTCATCGGCCGCGCCTGGATCTTTGCGGCGCTGAAGGCCCCACAGATCCCCCAGCCTCTGTTCTGGCCCCTGGCCCTCGTCTACCAAAATGTCTGTTGTATCGGAACCTGCGGCGCCGACTGAGAATTCCTCTTCTTCATCGACTGGCGTCGTGCAAGGCTGCCCTGCGTCGTGTATGATCTACGCTCTGAGCTCCCACCCCTCTATGTGCCGCTTTGAGGCTCTCGCGTAGACCCCCCCGGCTTGATTTCGCGAGCGCGCGCGCCGACGACAGGGGTAGTGTAGCGTTCCAGATCACGTCTCCCAGGCGTCTCTCCATTGTCTTCTAGCATGTCAGCGAGTAGCGAACCTCCGTCTGGAGACAGGCAAGTGCTTTGTGGCCCCCCTGGTTGGAGAGCCCCCCCCAGGAATCCAGCGTGTCTATTCCGATTGGATGGCTGAATGGTCCAGCAGAACGGTGCCGGTCGCCTCTGTTGAAGCCCCCCCCCCCCCTTGCTGCCAGCACGTGCGAGCGCGGAACGCTCTCGACTCTGTCGCATGTGGGCCAATTCCAGAGGCTGCCATGGATACAGGTTGCTTCGACAAATCATCGATTGCTCGAGTCTCTGTTCAAAGTGCCGCACTGATGTTTCTCGAGGACCAACTGGTTCCACTTTAAGCGGTGGGGGGCCCGGGATCCGCGGCGCCTTTCTGGCCAACCTCGCTGCCCTGATTCGGACCGCCATCGAGACTCTGCCGATGTGGGCGGAGCTTTCTACTCTCCTGGCGTTTCGGGCTCGAGGTTGTCTTGGGCTCCAGGATCTGGTTTCTGGCAACTTCAGCCCCATGGCCTGGGCCTTTCCTTGTTTAGCTGTGGGGGCCCAGGAGGCCGCCAGCAGATTCCCTTCCTCTCCCCGCTGGAAGGAAGCTGTGAGTATTGCCGTTGGCGCGGCCAGTCGAGCCTTGTTTGACGGCGGACAGGTTCAGCGCGCTTCGTATGACGTTTTGTCCTCTCACCTCTTCCCCTCCTCCCTGTGTCGGCCCTTCTTTGCTCGACTTCTCCACTTGCGCCTTCGGAGTGGTCGTGCCGTAGCGAGAGTGCCGCGGCAGTGCGTCCGAGAAACTCTGCTCCCCCAGCTGGGGCAACTCTTTCTGCCCTCGAGTTCAGGATATCTTTGGGCGTGTCTTCCCCCAGTTCAGCTTTCCTCAATGCCCGATTCACAGGCTCGGCTCAGTCTCTCCCCCCCCTCTGAATTTCGTTTTTTGGGTTGCGCCCCAACAGCTCCACTATGTTGCCCGCTCCCAACCTGTCCGTCTTCGCGACGCTGCTGATGCCGATACCGATGCTTCTCGCTCTCTCCCCCCCCATCGCCCCGCTCGCGGATCGCGCTCGCCAGCGGAGTGCAGAGCTCGAGCTTCCACCGGGCGCCCCGCGTTGCCGTCGCCAGCCTTGCAGCAGCAGCAGCGACAGTAGCAGCATCAGCAATCGTAGCAGTAGCAGTAGTGACAGGAGCAGTAATAGCAGCTTAGAGTAACCGATCCCGCTCGACTGGCGCGAGCTCAGGAGGAGGAGAAGGAGGAGGAGGAGGGGGAGGGGGCGGATGAGGAGAAGGATAAGGAGGCTAAGCTGTCGGAGGAAGAGGATGAGGAGGAGGGGGGGGAGGAGGGGGAGGTGGAGGAGGATGAGGAGGAGCCGTAGCCATTTTGGCTCAAGGGGCCTGATCCTGAACTTCCCAACCTCGCTCGAGCGCGGCCAGCAGCGAGGGCCATTCCAGCTTGCCTGGCATCAACCTGCCAGTCGATCCGAGCCCCGTCACATGCTCAGACAGTGCGAGTGACTTGGCGCCGCAATGAGAGCCGCCAGGATGGAGCCTGGGGCAAGCGCTGGAACAGCTGGGCGGGGAACAACGGGCACGGGAAAGGGGGCAGAAGGAGGGCGTGATGCAGCCATTGAGCAGTACGTGGTGTGTGACGTCTGCAACAAGTGGAAGTGGCTGGCGCGCGCGAGGAAGGACCCGCTGTGCAGGTGCGGCGACCGCCTCCTTCAGGGAGATGAGCCAGGCGAAGGTGTCGACAGTGGCGCATCGACGCCAGGGCCCCCCCCGCTGCAGAAGATCTTGGGGGCGCTCCAAGGGCTGCTCGGACCTCCGCAGCTTGCGAAGTTCAAGGAGCAGAACCTGTCAGCGGACGCCTTGCCTGAGCGCGAAACGGAGCCCGATGCCGCCCCTGCTTTGTCCCGCAGCGTCGGCTTGGCCAAGAGGGCCTTGCAGCGTGCCATTGCGCACAAGAAGGAGCGCCAACACAAGGTGGGCCAGCTCAAGGAGCAGCTCGCCCAGGCCGAGGCGAACCTGGACGTGGCAGTCTCACAGGAACAGGCCGCCAAGCAGGAGGCGGCGAGGAAGTCGCAACAATGGGCGGAGCTCGTCAACCCCGATGGCGCCAAGTGCATCGTCATCGAGGATGAGTCCTTCGCGCCGCGCGACCAGCAGGCCCTGCAGGCCTTCCTGGCGCAGCACCCGCAGATCGCCGCCAAGTGCGGTCAGCAGGTGCCCAAGGCGGCCGCGGCCCCCGTCGGGCCGCAGGGGGCCGCCAGGGCCGCCGCCGCAGCCGCCAGCGGCGCACCGCCCGCGGCCCGTGGGCCCGCGGCGGCGCCAGCGGCGGCCATGGGCGGCGGCAAGGGGGCGCCGCCGCCCGCGCCAGCCCAGGCGGCGCCCGCGGGGCCACCGCCGAGGCTGCCCCCGCGGGGCCCCAGCCCGCGCCGCGGGGCAGGGGGTGCCGCGGCCGCCGCAGCCGATGAGGAACCCCACCCTGGGGGCCGCAGCCGCGGCCCCGCGGCGGCGGTGGCTGCCGAGCATGAAGAGGGTGGTCGCAGCCGTGCCCACGTTGATGATCGTGCTGGCGGGGCTTTTCGTGACTAACGCCACCACGACGGCCATGAAGTACGACCCGAGCCTCGCCATGATGTTCGGGTACCGCACTTTCTCCCAGGCCAAGGGCTCTCGAACGGGAGCCACTGGGAATCTCGCGTTCTATTTCGCCAACATTACCCTGCGGAATGCACGGGCCAAAAATTATATCCTAGACTCGCGCTTCTTGGCGGATGTTTGCATTTTGACAGAGGCGCACCTCGCTCTGAGCAAGCATGGGCCCGTTCGGAAGCAGTTTAAGAAGAAGGGTTGGAAGACCTACGCTTGTCCAGCCATCAGCGCAGCCGAGGGGGGCCAGGCGGGATTCCTGTTGGGTGTCAGGTCCCATCTGTCCTCCCACGCGCGTATCATGGGGGCCCAGGGCCACGCCAAACCTTTAGTTTCAGGGGCTCGCTGGACGAGCGTCGTCATCAACCTAGATAAGATCAGCTTCCTTATGATTGGCGTCTATCTGCATTCTGGAGTGGGCATGCCGCAGGCCAATCGGGACATCATCCATGAACACGTCATCCATATCAGGACCTGTAAGATGCCCTACATCACAGCAGGTGATTTTATCGAGCCCCCTTCCGAGCTCAACCATCCCGTGAAATGGCTGTCTTGGGTAAACGGGGAAATCATCACGCCGTCGACCGCGTCCTGGGCCCTTTCGGATGGGTATCGTATGATAGATTTCTGTGTTGTCGATCAGAGACTGGGCATCTCGACCAAGCTGGGGGGCATCTTAGAGGGACCTTGGAAGCCACACTTGCAAGTCGCAGGATTTGTTACTCGAGATATCGCCCAGAAGGAGATATTGGCATGTAGTCGTGCGAGCCCCTCCCCGCCAACTACCAGGGGGTCCACATGCCACGGGGGTATTATTATGAGAAGGCCGAGGAAGAGGTATCAGAGTTCCACCTGGCCCCGACATATTCCTACTGCCAGGCCTACGCTAGCCCAGAGTTAACCCTTCAGTACGCTACACTCAGCCGGGCTCTGGAACTTCATATGTATCACAACAAGGTTGGAGACCCCTGTCGCCCGAGCAGGGGCCAAAATGTCAGATTTCAACGCCAAGCACTCCTCCCGCCGCAGCCGCCAGAAGGGTTGGAGACTAGCACGGCTAGCAAGTGGAACGTTCTGCTTGCCCGTGCACGTGATCGGGGCGCGCTGTGGCGGCGCGCCCAAGCTCCACAGCAAGTAGGAGCCATCCAGCATCTTTTACACGCAAGATCCATGCAGCCATCACCTACCCAGATTACGTCACCCAGGACAACAGGGGCATTCTGGGGGGTATTTCACAGGCCACATTCAGGATCCAGAGGTATTATTTGGGAACTGTGAGATTCAGACTGGGGTCGGGTTTCAGAAGTTTCTTGGTTGGATATACCAGCATTACCAAAGATTGGAACATCGGAAAGCATCCGAAGAATGTCAGGAATGGACAGAGGAGGACTTCAAGAAAGGGAGGGATGTTTCGCACGCCATCACCAAGGCCCAACCCCCACCCCCAGAGGAGCTGGACACCATCATAATGTCCTCCTGCTCACATAATCTCATCTCAGGTGACCCGATCCTCCTCATGCAGCATAAGCTTACTTATTGGGGGGAATACTGGGCACCCCTGGGATCTCCGAGCAGGCCACAAGAGGCTCAATGGCTCGTTCCCCTTATCGCTCAAGCTCGGAGGCAAGTCTTGGAGGACCCCCAGTGGGAGCCCGAAGAAGCATTTAAGATTGTTCGCAGGTGTAGCACAAACTCAGCAGGAGGTGCCGACCTGTGGAACCCGAGGGAGTTCGACCTCCTTCCGACAGAAGGCCGCCAGGTCTTCACCGACCTGCTCAATCAGGTCCGCGCCACGTTTAAGTTTCCAGCGCAGGTGCCCATGAACATGGTTCGCTTCGTCCCAAAGACTGTGGAATCGGATCGACCCATCACCCACGCGTGCAGTTTTTACCGCATCCTGATCCAGTTGGACAGACCCTCTATCACCGCCCGGGACTCCAAAAAAGCTGGATGCGGCAATCCGAGGCTCCTCATGTTCGAGGGCAGCGCTGTTGAGTGAAGTGACGGCCGAGCTGGCCGCCAGTCTAGGAGTTCCGATTTCAGAGGCGCTGTTGGACATCGAGAAACTATTCGATACGGCTTGCACCGAATATGTATGCAGTATGGCGGTCAAGTTAGAATATCCACCAGTGTCGTTCGTTCTCGGCATGATGGTTCACACGGCCGCGCGGGTGCTCACATCCTCGCTTGGCTGTTCCAACGCCATCTGCACGACAGAGAGCATGCTGCAGGGGTGCTCACAGTCTACTTCGTTCGCCCGCGCCTTCTTGCACGACATACTCGACGAGATGCACAGGCGCTTCCCATCACTTGAAGTTTCGAACGTGGGTGGACGACCTGCGACTCAGAGCCTGGGGATCCCACGAGATGCTCCAAGTGGACGCCCCAGAGGCCATCATATACCCAGGAGAAGCCCTACAAGCCAGAGGTTGTCGGCTCTCCCCCAAGTCCTGCATCATCAGCTCGGCCAAGTCCCTCGGTCAGTCCATCTGTTCCACGCTGGGCTCTCACGGATGGGCCTTCAAGCAAGTAGGACTTGGGCGGGATCTGGGGCTGGGTACTACTCTTGGAAAGAGACGCAGGATTGCTACCAGGAGCGCCAGGTTCGGCAAGGGGCTCAAGAGGCTTGCATCGATCCAGAACCTGTCCAGAAATATCAAGAGGGCTCGGAGGCTGGTCTCAACTGGGGCCAAACCGCAACTCTTCTGGGGCCACCAGGGCCAAGGAATTTGCCCTACGCAATTGAAACACGTCCGGGGGCGTTTTAGTCAGCGGGCTTGGATATGTTCCCAAGTATGGATGTACTACCACGGGCTTCGCCCTATCGCCGAATGGACAAGAGCAGGAGGATCCCGCCCATTATTTGCCGATGCAGATTTTATACACCTGGTTCGACATGGTCAACCAGGGCACTGTGCTGCACACCGCTATCAACAGGCGGTGGGCCCCGACAGTTGAAAGGCTCGCTGGCAAGTCTAGGTGGAGCAAGGTTGTTTCCCTCTTCTCGGCCGCGATCGCCACCCTCCAGGACTTTGACGTTTATCCAGCGGGCCCCTGGGGATGGATCCTGCCTGATCAGAGGCGCTCTATAGTCACCCCTGGGGACCTCGAGAGGCAGGGGGAGTTCATGAACGCGTTCCCCAACGCATCTCCCGGACTATCTGGTCTCGGGCTTCGAAGTTTTATCTTGGGGGGGGAGCTGAGGAAGGAGTTTATGTTTACAGTCATAAGGTTATTTGCCAAAAGTTTCGAAGAGAGGAGGCGCCGGCATGTGCCGATGCCCTCCACATTATTAGCGAGGGTTCAGTTTGGACGTGCGGCCGTTTACACTCGTGCAAGCCAGATGTTTCAGCCAGGTGCCCGAGGTGTGACGCCCCAGAGGAGGGCGACCTCCACCGCTTCTGTACCTGCCCCGCGCTCCAGCAGTGCACCGACGAGGCTATCCTCGATTCTAATCATCTTGTTTTGAAGGCAGTGGGGCAGTTCCCGTCATACCCCATCAAGTGGGGCCGCGCGCTCCAGCCAGCCGAGTTCACTGCAGGACTCGCTGATGATAACCCACCCCCCCAGTCCACCGCGCTACTGGCACGTCCGTTCTCCAAGGGGCGCAGGTGAAAGGCGAATTCCTGGCCGGGTCCGACGCCAGCGGGGGCCCACGCAATCAAGATCCTCGGAAAAGGCGCGTGGGCTGGGGAGTAGCAGTCTTGGACACATATTACGAACCTGTAGGCACTCTTCGAGGGAGCCTGCCAGGAAAGCAGACGGTCAACCACGGCGAGTTGCGCGCCGCCACCCAGGCCCTGCGCCAAGTGCAGGGAGAGATTACCCTGGTATTGGATTCCAACTATGTAGATCGGGGAGCTCCGAGGGGGCCTAGGTGGAAGCCTCGTTCCAATCCAGATTTATGGTTAGATTTTTGGACCGCCTTCGAGGCCCATGATGGGCCCGTTGAGTTTCACACAACCAAGTCACATCCTAACTATGAGGACTGGGATACGTATGCTATCCAGCCGTGGGCCCTTTTGGCTAATTCGCTCGCGGATGAGGTAGCCAATGACGCCACCACCCACGTCCAGCTTCCTCAGACAGTGCTTGACAGCATCGATGCTGAAGCCGCTGAGATGCAACGCATCTCTAGGCGTTTCGCCACCATCCAGGTTAACTTCTGGTGTGGCTTTAAGCTTCCCTCCCTTCCTCGACCCAGGCAACCCAGGCCGACCCGTAAGTGGGGGCGCGCCAGACACGTCTTGGAGGATTGTAGAGAGGGGCTCAGGCGCAGGATCTGTTTCAGGTACCAGTTCGCGGGGCAGAAGGCCCCATGGTTAGATAAGCCGTGCGCCCAGTGTAAGGCACAGGGATTTCACCACGCCCACATTCCCCACCTGCACGTTTTTTCGGGGAATCGCATTTTGCTCGAGGTGTGGTGGATGGAGTAATTCGAGGTCCTTCAAATTAAAGAGTGTTTGCGAGCCCGCCACCAGCGCAGGACTGAGGGCCCGCAGCCGTCTTTTGAAAGGACTTTTACCACAGGGGTTACAAAGCTGGCCGTCCTCTCTCGCCGCTCGCTCCCAAGAAGAGAGCGCGAGAGGTGTGGGAGTCCCGCCACAGCGCATCAGTAGCTACGTTGCCAGCGGGCCCTCGGAGTGCGAGGTCTCCCCTTAATCGCTGGCAACATGACAACATGGGGGAGGAGGAGGAGGAGGAGGAGGAGGAGGAGGAGGAGGGGATGATGCGGCACTATTGGAACGGGGCCAACGAGGAGGAGGCATCTTCGCTCTGGGCGTTATTTTCTAGCTTGCAGCTTTCTGGTCCTGTCTGCCGTCAACGTGGACCTCAAATCGATGAATCGCGTAGCCGCGACACTATTGCGAAACGTTTGGCGGCGAACACCTGCGAACGAATACAACCGATTGGCTTCCAGCTAAACATTGGATGCGAACGCACTCTTGCAAACCGTTTTTTCTTCAAAAAGGATATATATATATATATATATATATATATAAAAATACAAACAACGTCAGTTTGCGATCGTCAGATCTTGCGCGCGCGCCATTGGCGATGGCATTCGATGAGGAAGGGAACAGCGAACAGCAGCGCCAGGCCGCGGCAACAATCAACAGCGACAGGCAGCAGTTGCAGCCAACAGCAGACGACAACGGGCCCCAGGCAGCAGCAGGCAGCAGGAGAAGAGGAGAGGAAGAGAACAAAAAATGGAGGGCTGCGCCGATATGGAGACGTACAGCTGTTTGC